CCCAGGTTGAGAGCCTCCTGGGTTCCTCCAGGCTTGCAATAGACATCATCAGAGCATCCTGCTCTGCAAAATGTCTCCTGTTCCCAGTTGTTTTTCTTTTGCCTGACTTTTAGTCGCACTGATTTTCTTTGAATTCTATAAACTGCACATTATTTTACATGCTTTAATTTTGTTTTTGTCATATATAAACTCTCTATTGGTTTTATGGTTTAAACACTATGGGTACAGTTTCTTTGCACATTTTTAACATTGATATCTCTTAAAGAGGTAAATTCTGGTAAGAGATAAAATATGTTTTGCGTTTTCCTAGATTTGTGTGTTTTTCTGTTTAAGGCTTTGAATCACTAGTTTTTATGGTCAAAATCCTATTTAGAATAAATGGTTTCTTAATTGTCTCTTCTTTAGGATATCTGTGTTCTTAGCATTAATTAAATATAAACAACTTTTATTTGGTGAAAAACAAAACAAAACAAAAAAAAGAGCAAAAAGATATATTTTTATGTCCAAGAAATTTAGTAATTTCCACCAGCTTGGGACCTATGACTTTTCTCTCACCTCTTGTAGCCTCCTTTTTCTTTTTGTTAATCCTCACCTGAGGATATTTTTTCCCATTGAGTTTTAGAGAGAATGGAAGGGAGGGGGAGAGAGAGAGAGAGAGAGAGAGACATTGACGTGAGATAGACACATCGGTTGTTTACCTCCCACCAGGGATGGAGCCTAAAAACAAGGTACATGCCCTTGATTGGAACTGAACCCCTAATCCTTCAGTCTGTAGGCCAATGCTCTAACCACTGAGCAACTGGCTAGGGCTCACCTCTTGCAGCCTCCTTCTTTTCTAACCACTTGTAATTTTTGGCTTTCCAAGGAATATTGCCCTTCCTGTTCTTTCCATTCCTCCAAGTCCTCCACCCCCTTGTAGAAAACAGAAAACATCAATAGAAAAATTGTTATGATGCAAATTGTGTTGAGCCTTTAAAATTTCGCCAAAACTGGTTTGGCTCAGTGGATAGAGCGTCGGCCTGCGAACTGAAAGGTCCCGGGTTCGGTTCCGGTCAGGGGTGTGTACCTGGGCTGCGGCCACATCCCCAGTAGGGGGTGTGC